AAAAATTCCAGCTACTTTCCAAGGCACCATCTCTCATGCTTTCTTAGTGTAATTTGAAGTACTAAAGTAATAAAAACTAATAAATAAATTAAAGCAATACAGACATATTTAAAAAATAATAATAAAAAACACAATAAAATTACTACAACGTTAACCAAAATTAAAGTGAAAGCAGAAAATAGTAAACAAAATGAATTCAAAATATTAACCAAAACTATAACAGTATATTAATGATTAACTACAGTAAATTAACATTGCTTGAAATAAATGTAATTGAAATAAAATAAAATATATATATAAAAAAACGTATTTCATTTCAGTTAGTTGCCAATGCAAAATGTATTGTTTTTCTTTACTTTAACTTGAAGTACTAAAATAACAAAAAAAAAATGAAATAAATATGAATACAAACAATATAGACATATTTAAAAAGAAAATGAAAGCTAAAAAAAATTTTTATGAAAAAAATATAAAAATAAAATATAATTTAAAATATTAACAAAAATTATAATAGTGTATCAGTGATACTAAAATAACACTGTTGCAACATCACATCATTTTAAAAAAAAAATGTCACCTTATCTAATGTCATTTGTATTTGTTTGTGGGTGTGTGTGTGTGTGTGTTAGACATTGACGAGTGTTTGGATGCGCTGCAGTGTCCCGGTCAGCAGTGCTTGAATTCTCCGGGCTCGTATAAGTGCGTTCCCTGCAGAGACGGACACAGCATGCAGAACGGACGCTGCTCAGGTCAGACGAGCCTCCGAATACAGAGCAAAACCTCAATCTGTCTAAATACTTACTGTGCACACTTTCAAGTCATCTTGAAGTTCTCTGAGTGCAAACAGCTGCCGTGTCGGCGACTCTTAAGAGCATCATGCCACAGAATAAAAGATGTAGTGCAGAAAGTTGGCTTTGGCAAATGAACGCCATCAAATGTGTCAGAGCTTCGTTCCTCACACTCGCTCTATCGCTCCTTCCTTACTCTCTGATCTGAAGAGGAGTGCGGCGTATGGCCTACAGATGGCAGGACTCGTGTTTGAGCACAATGATCTAATATCTGCTTGAAGTTTCACACTGAGAAAGTGTCCGGGTCGAGGGAGGGTGAAAACTCAACACATCTGCCTCAAAACCCGCCACCTTCAAAACTATATTTATGTTATTATATAAAACTACTCTGTATGCTACAGCAAACTAGCATAAGAAATTTCAATAAGAATAAATCATAAAATGTTAAGAAAATAAATATAGTTTTCATTAAATAAATAAAATGTTAATAAATAAATGAATCATGCAATGTGTCTGTAAATAAATAACATCACAAATAGCATTGTATTTATGTATTTTTTACATTTATTTATTCATGTTATTGACACATTTCACGACTTATTTTTCAAAACGTATATTTATTAATTTTCTTAAGACATTTCATGATTTATTTAAAATGTTTATTTTATTGACACATTTTCATGATTTATTTAAAAAAACATTTATTCTAAATTTGTTTACATATATTTATTCATTTTACTGTAACATATTTTTCATTTTATTAAGATATTTCTTGATTGATTTAAAATATTTATTTTATTGACTCATTTTTTTAAATCTTTATTTATTTGATGTTGATATTAAGAGTATTTGATAATACATTTCACACTTACATATTTATTTATTTTGTTTAAACATTTCATGATTTCATGGTTTATTTGTGAAAACATTTATTTATTTGACATTTCCGTATTTATTGACAATTTTCATGATTTATTTTTAAACATATATTTATTCATTCTATTGACACATTTAAAGATTTATTTTTTAAACATTTATTTGACATTTAATTTATTTATTTTCTTAAAGCATATAGTATAATTAATAATTTTATTGACAAATTTCATGATTTATTTTTTTTAAACATTATATTTATGTTTCTGACACATTTCATCATTTATTTATTTCTTTTTAAATATATATTTATTTATGTTGCTGAAAAAATTTCAAGATTTATTTGATGGCATGTATTTATTTACTGACACATTTCTTGATTTATTAATTTACAAACATATTTATTCATTTTATTTATTTATTGACACTTTCAATGAAACATTTATTTATTACTATGGCACACAAAATCCTCCACAAGCGTTATACACTGATATCTTAAAGGCACAGTACAGCATAAATCAGCCTGTTTGATTCAAAGGGACAGAGAGAGGGCGTAAAATGCTCATGAAAACTAAATCATGACTATTTTTGGTGCAAAGCGCTTGACTGACATCATAAGGAAGCGACAAGGCAGAAGATAAAGTGATATGATATGCATCATGGCAGACCAAACCCAGTTCATGTTGTCAGACACTTATTAGATCTATGGCTCAGCATTGTCACTGCTAACCCGTGCTGTTTGTTTTCCCCTCAGACATTGATGAATGTGCGAGTCCTCACCTGTGTGGGCCGCAGAGCGTGTGCGTGAACACAGACGGCTCGTACCGCTGCGACTGCTCTCCGGGATACAGAGCGGCCGGGCCGCGGCGCCAGTGCCGAGGTCAGAGAAATATTACATCCATCCTCCGCTTTATACTCTCTCATCATGTGTGAGTTTGTTTTTAACACACTTCTGTCTGGCTCAGACATTAACGAGTGTCTGGAAGGAGATTTCTGCTTCCCGAGCGGAGAGTGTGTGAACACGGACGGATCGTATAAGTGCGTTTGCGCGCAGGGCTACAAGAGCGCCGCTAACGGGACGTCCTGCCAAGGTATGACCCCAAAACGTGTCGGGAATGTTATAACGTGACCGGTGTTTTTCTCAGCCACCTTGGATTTAGCTTTGGACCTTGTCTTTAGGGAGTAGTTTCTCTCTCTTGAATGTGAAATGCTCCTTAATTCTTGGACGGAATGATTCTGTTCACATAACGTCTAGGTTACTTGTGTAACCCTCGTTCCCTGAAGGAGGGAACGGAGACGTTACGTCAGTCGTGACTGACGAATTGGGATCTCGCCCGAGAGCCCAATCACCTTCGAGTGTAAACTAAACAAGCGAATGACAGTTGGCGTGCGTGTTTCGCCACGCGCACCCCGCCCCGCAGCGCGGGTATAAAAGGAGAGCGCGTGCAAACGCACATCAGTTTTTCGCTGAGGAGCCGAGACTACGTGCCCCGGCCGTACAGCGGTGGTACAGCAACTGTGGCGACGGAACGTAACGTCTCCGTTCCCTCCTTCAGGGAACTAGGGTTACACAAGTAACCAGTGGGCAAGTCTTTGTTTGGAGACAGCCTTCCCCTTCTGCTGTCCTCCGAAGCAGACAAAGAGCTGGTCTGAGGTCCTGAAGCTCTGCGT